GAGTTTAAACTTTTAACAGAACTTGTCAAAACCTCTAGTTATTTTCACACTACTTAGTTTAAAACAAAACATTTTCTATAATTGCCTTAATCCACTCGCACGTTTGTTAAATAAAGTTTAATGTTAACGAAGTTATTTTTTTAAAGTTGCATTTTAAAGTTATTACTATTTAAATGGGAATAAGCCACAATTAAAGGTTAAAGTAAAAACAAAATACAAACATTAGTAAATTACTAATGTTTGTAGGATATACTAATGTTTGTATTTTGAGAACGATTTCCGAAGTGGAAATTTAGTAATTAATTATGTTGACAATTTTTCGACTGTTCTAACAACCATTTAAATTTCGTCATTTTGTGTCATGTGGAACAATTTCACCCAATCATGTCAACATTAGACTGGTAATTGTATTCAGTGCAATTTTCAATCCCTATGACAACACGATCGAATTTGACAACTTCATCCAAATAAATTTCAAAATGTCACGTTTCGAATAATAACAAATCACTCGAATAGATCAACTGCTGTTAGCGAATTAGCAAAAAGTGATGTAGAAGAACAACAATTACTAAAAATTACTGGTCATGGCAATCAGAATTCTATAAAACCATACTTGAATCTCGATCAAGAACACCACAACAAGATTATAAATATTATGTGTGGTAATAGATCTTCTTAGAGAACAGCAACGAATCTAATGTTAACTTAAATTTTAATAATTGTACTTTCACTAACTGTACTTTCAATAAATAAATTTTTCGTTATGTTGAGTTATGATTTTTTTTTCGAAAAATTATCCTCCAAATATCCCTCGGACATTGATGAATGCCTCATAATTTCATGACAAATTTCTCAAGCTCGTTACTTAGCAACTCAGCCTTCGGCTTCGTGCTGTTACCAAGGAACGAGCTTTCGATTGTCATGAAATTATCTCGTCTGTTATCAATGTCATAGGGATATTACTACTGATAATTTTACTTTTCAAATAAAAGTGTTTCATATACAACTTTATTTGATGCACCCGCGTTAGAGTTTGCTATGGCATGGGAACACAAAAATCTGCGTCAGGCTAACGTTGTAGAGTTTAAACCAAATACTTCCAGTGCATCATAGTTTATCGAATTCTCTCTATTCTCTCGAATTAAGTTGGAGATGACAACGTCTACTAAACTCCTATTTTGCTAAGGTTTCTGCAAACCCTAATAATATATCTTTCCAACTTATTAAAAATTTTCAATTAACAGGAGCACATAGTAGAGCTACTGCCAATTCATCACCACAATTTCTATTGCCACTCTTAGAAAATATTGACCTAAATCTCACCACCCCCATTACTCAGCCCAATACTCCACCTTGGCTAAAAATATTACCTGACTTTAACGTAAATTTGTGCATATATAAGAAAATGGAAACCCCAACGACACTCATGAAACAAACTTTTAGCGACATAATTAATAGAGGCAAGTTTGATAACATAATATTCACAGATGCATCTAAAGGCGAAGAAAGTGTCGGATGTGCTGTTACTTCCACAAATAACATACTAGCAATGTATAGACTACCCAAGATGACCAGTATATTCACAGCAGAACTTTACGCTATACTTAAAGCTCTAGAGGTTCCAATGTAGGGTACCAAAAACTTAGCAATCTGCACAGATTCATTATCATCCATAAATTTAATTAGAAAAATCTACACATCAAATCCTTTAGTTAATGAGATCCACGAAAGATGTACAGCACTTGCTAAATCAAACACTTCGGTTTCGATGATATGGAATCCTTCACATGTTGGTATTAAAGGAAATGAGAATGCTGACCATGCAGCAAATGAAGCACGTCGCTCTGACCTTACAAATGAAAAAATCAATGGAACAGGTGCACTACCCAACTAAAGTCTATCCAACCAAACATTTTAGGCCCTAGAATTGTTACAATGGAAAGAAAATCGAAGACCATCATTAGAAGGCTCAGAATTGGGCACACCCGGCTAACCCACGGATATCTGATGGTTCCCGAAGAACCTCCAAACTGCCATTATTGCAACTCCCGTTTAAGTGTACACCACATACTTGTGGAATGTAACCAGTACGCAGCAGCACGGATCAAACATGGTATCCACGGAAGTTTATGTGACATTTTAAAATCTAAAAACAATATGTGTAATGTGATAGAGTTCCTTAAAAACTGTAAATTATATCACCTGTTGTAATTGTATCATTTATCTATATTTCAATTTTGTAACCATCCGCTAGTTTTTTCTTTATTTTTTTTTTGATATCATCTGTATTGAAATTTATTGAATTAATGTAATTTTATTGTTATTCTGTAATACAGTTCCTCGTGTTAATGGCCGCAGCAGCCGAGACATGTAATTTGAAATAAAAAAAAAAAAAAAGTTGGAGATGACAGAAAAAAATCCGTGACTGTTATACATAGAACTTAGAAATTTATGTAGCATTTACAGGTAGTTGGGTATTAAAGGATACTTATGGATGTAGAATTAGTTGACGTTGGAATACACTAAATCGATAAACAGTCAATCATGCAAATTAAGAAGATTTGATGCAATAGTACACGATCGTGAAAGTATTTTCAAGTTATAAAACGGTAAAATGACAATTCAACACCTGATATGAATAACATTGTAACTCTACTTACAATTTTTTTTAACTATGGATTAAATAACATCTTCATATAACATTGATTTCGCGCGTAACTGACATTCAAAATCGACGTTCCCTTAAAGCGTTGTTTTTAAAAGAACGGTCAATTCTACACAAAAAATGTGTTTTGTTTGTGAATGTAAAGTGACAGTGAAGCACATTTTGATTTACTGTCCAATACACTCAGTTGAAAGACTATATCACCACATTCCAAAAACAATAAAAGAAGTTCTAGGAGAATCTAAATACGTAGCTGACTGATAGAATTCTTAAAATCTATAAACTTTTTTAATACAATTTAATACAATACAGTAATAATTAAAATATATATTGTATACATTATTATTTAATATGTAATTGTAATAATTTTATATATGTAATTAATATTTTGTACATGCCTATGTATGTCTTCATTACTTTTTGTATTAATTGGTTAAAGCAAAAATAAATAAATAAACAAAAAAAGATATAAAGACGACCTATTTAAATCTCGTCAGAGCGGTATAGCCACCTCTCTGGATCGAAACAAAATCTATTTCCGTCTTAGACAATAGTTATATAATAACTATATACGGACATAACTACGCCATCTAATAACAAAAAGAGAAATCAAACCTGGCGAAATCGAATTCAAGTTTTGACCACCGTGATTTCTAAAACTAAAACTAAAAAAAAAGAAATCGAATTTTTTACTTGGAGTTGATACAATCTTTAATTTCATGCGTGTAACCGATATAGTGTTAATAAACATTTCTGTTAGAAATTATCTCTTTCACACATTTTCTTGTATCGTTTTTTAGGCCCAAAAATTGACATTTCTAACAAAACTCAGCTTTTTCTTATGCTTTTTAGAGGTTCACTGTTATTTTCGTACTATTGACGATTATACTATTAGGGATAATTGAAACAACAAAATTGATCTAATTAAATAGCATACAAAATTCCGATTCTCTTATCTACGTATATAACAAAGACGTGATAATTCTAAATTATTTAATTTTTAGTATAAAACCATATACCTAGTAAACACAACCTTATTAGATTCGTCTAATGTCTGAAACGAGTCTAACACAAAATTCCCCTCCTTAAACTAACACCTGCTAGGTACGGTAGTTCTCCTTTTCTCTAATTACATCCATTCTTGAATCAAATTAAGCGACAGCACAATTTACTAAAGACATTAGACATAATACGGTCGGATCATTGGTGTAACAAATGGAAAGGTTTAGTCGTTAAATAAGATGGAGATTTGATGAAAATCCGCTAACAAATTGTGATTAAATACATATATATTTTATAAATACTGTGACACGAAAATTAAAATGAAAGATATTTGAGTTATTGAGAATCAGAGTGGTGTGGTGTAAGTCAGTTTTAAATAAATTTGAGATTTTTAAGTGTTTGTTAAACGCTGTACAAAAAAATCCCCTTATAGTTTAAAGCAAAAAAATTGCCTTTTTGTTATCACAAATTGTTACTTTTTTATTAATATAGGTTTAATATACCTATTGTTTACCATAAAAAAATAAGAAGGGCTTAAATGACTTACAACACTACCATCCTAAACATAACTAGGGATTGAATAAAATAACTGACTTACCTTATTGAAGATTAAACTTTATTACTTAAAAATTGACTTTTACAAGTTAATGCAGGTTACAGAAACAGTTTAAAAAATTTACTCTTACACTTTGTCAACAGATTAATTATTTCTAAAGTATCTTCACTTAATAAGTAATCAATTCAGAGATCCACTATAGTCTTTTTTAGTCCTCAGTTTCGTTTTCCTCATTGCTTTGAGATTCAACATAAGGAAGTAGGCTAATCTCCTCTTCTTCAATATTTACAGCAGTTCCTACGTTTTGAAAAAACCCATGATGGACTAAAGCAATAGGCTGTAGGAGGTCAATCATATCTTGTTTCTTCTGCTCGCTTACAGGTGTCATTCTTGAGTAGAGTTTTTGCATGGGAACATTTTTCAACTGTCTGGCCTCCCCTTTCGTCCTGTTGAAGTGATATCTATGGTGTCGAACTGTACCATGTCTTGAATTGTCGCTTTATACTGAATGCTGTAAGGTTTAGGCTTTTTATACCTTATCCACTGTATTTTTAGCCAGTTTACTAACATTTTCCTTGATTTTATCCTATTTGCTATGTTTCCTATTTGCAGTGTGCTTGTTGAAAACAATTCAGCATTGCTCATCTCACAAATAATAAATTTCTTTTTTCTCCAGTAGGTGGTTATGACTTCTTTCCAGTCATGAAGACTGACAGCCTTTAAGAAACAAAATACGCCAGCTTCTATGTCGAAGTCATGGACTCCAAAGTTATATGACTACATATTTCGCTTATAATATGCATCTGAAATAGATAACACTGAAAACGGCAAAGCTTTCTGTAGGTCAACACTACATACATAACTAATCTGGTTTCTTTTCGCGTTTTTCGCATCAGTAGTCATACATTCCCTTGCTAGCTCAGCTTTCCGTAAATTGAGTTCATGGTCAGTGTTAAGTTGAGATAATTCATCCCTACTCAATTCTGGATTGCTTATTTTTATTTTGAATATGTCATATTTTTTGCAAGTGTCTTTTTTTGAAATGTAGAAGTGAAGGTTAAATTTAGTGTTGAAAACGTATTGACAAACATACTCATTAATCGGTAATTTTTGCTCTTCCTGGCACCTTTTCTCGTACAATGAATACATTTTTCTACTAGTTAAATTATCACTAAGGTACCTTTGGTGTTCTTTTTTCTTTCTGGTATTTTTACCTCTTCTGGTAAGAGGGAAATGACTTGATATGTTTTTTTTAGAGCTCGTTTAACACGACTATCTGACACGCACAAAGTAGTGAGAAAATAATTTTTGCATCAAATCATTGAAGAAGTCCCTGTTACAAGTACAAGGGTAATAGCTGGTCAACTAAATGTTCCTCGCGTAAGGGTTTGGAGGCGTTTAAAGGCTGCTTAAACCCTATCACTTAACAACGGTTCAGAAGTTATAAGTTAAAGATTATCCTAAAAGGATTGGATTTTGCGATTGGTTGGTAATGGAAAACACTCGAAATAATAATTTTATTAGAAATATTTTGTTTACCGACAAGGCTACCCTCAGTAAAAATGGAATAACAAACCATCATAACGAGCACCTTTGTGCCTACGAAAATTCCCCCGCCAAAAAAACGACTCATCACCAAAGTACTTTCAAAGTTAATGTTTGGGCAGGAATTGTGGATATCAATGAAAGGGTATTTGGAAGAAGTGAATATTACAGTATTCCTTTACAGGTAGTATTCTGTGGGGTCGTGACCCACCTATTTCTTGGCCACTCAAAAGTCCAGGTCTTAACCCCATAGACTTTTGCTTTTGTGAGTTTATGAAATATAAAGTGTATTCTGTAACAATAGAGGACGAACAAAAATTGAGGGTTACAATAATTAAAGCTGTAAATCAATTTCGTCAGAAAAATATGATTTTTCGGGGTTCATATGTATTGAAGAAAAGTGGGGGTCATTTTTAACATTTATTGTAATACAATAAATTTATTATAAACATACTTATAGAGGTTATACACATTTTTTGTACTTGTTAATTGGCTCTAACTTTTTTTTGTGTACACTTTTGTACTAAGATTAGTTGGATACAATCAATTTATTTTTATCCCCGAAATGCGTGATTTAATTTATGACATACCTTTTGAAACACACTGTACAGATAAGTCAACTTAGCTCATTTTTTTCGGCAACATATTGTATTAAACATCACTGTTCATAATGTGAACGATAAAAATCAAATAAAAGATGACATACAGGTTAATCATGCCTACCAACCTAAACATAGACGCCTTATTGTTCGAAAAGTACCATTAGATACAATTTCCACTTCATTTTGGTTTAAAATTTACCCTGTAAAATAAATTGAATACCAAGTGAACCACATATGCCCTAGTATTCTAGAAAGCGTAAATACAGTAAATTAAAATATGTTGTAGTATCTTTTTACTCGAAATTCGTATAATTCTAGTCAGTGTGATTCATTTTGCCAAAATAATTTGTTAGTGCATACAGAATATCCATTAAATCTATTTCAATACAATTTTGTTTTAATAAATTTTCCTCATGGTAGTGGAGCTTGTTTTAATGAAAAATTAAATTTAAATCGACCAATCTTGCAGCTGCGACTGATCGATTTTCTGGTTAGTAAACATTACTTTATTAAACTGTGGCAAAGTTATCCATTATTTTTATGTTCAGTTTAAAGATGCACTCATTTTATATAATTGTATTACATTTTTGTATTATATATTTTTATTAATAATCGTTCTTATGATCAGGAGAAAGCTTCTAAAGCTTTATGATCGGATGAAGACGACTTTTAGGACCGAAAAAACAAAAAAGCCTACCGGAAAATAAATGCATATCAAATGTGGTTGGTGTGAGTCACGTAAATTTAGAAAACTCAGTTCACATAACACCAGTAGGCATATTTATATAAAAAATAGCAGAATTAAACATGTAAAAGGAGACACAAGAAAACTAAATTTAGAAAATAAATCGAAAAGAAATTTAGGCCAAAGCTACAAAATTTGAAAAGGCAAAGAAATTAAAGCTAGATGACTATGAGAGTGCAAATGACTATCGAATTGTTGCATGAAATGTCAGGAAAAATTTATCGATATTACAAGACACACATTATTTTAAGAATATTGGGTTATGAATGGGTAGCTATAATAAGAGAATTACGCATTCAGCTAGTTTTGTAAACATCGTTGAAAAGAAAACATCAAAACAAAAAGTTGCTGATAAAACTAAACAAAAATTGTGTTTGTTAACCTATCAATCATCATCTTCAGATTAATGGTAATTTAATACCAACATGTAAGTCGTGCATTTAAAAGACTTTATGTGAAAGCAGTAAATTTCTTATAACTGATGGTTTCGACCGTTACTTGATGGAAATTCATTTTATGTAACAATGAAACACTGAAAATTTTGTTTTCAAAACTTCCACAAAATTTATTTTAAACTCTTATCACTACAGCTATTTCGGCAGATTGCTTTTCTCAAGTGATCTTTGTTTTCCTTGCGTTTACACTTTGTAGTACTCAATGAAATAGGTTGATAGGTCATTCGGAATTATATCTGTGTTTTTTAGTTTGTTGATTACCATAGTTTCTAACATCTTGTTGACCTTCCTACGGATATTACTTACATTATATTATACTCAGATACGTGTGGTAGTCAAAATAAGTATACACACGTTATGGCAATGATTTTTTACGTTACTACAAAACATCCGACATTTGAAAACCATTGAACATTAGTTCCTTATCGCAAGTAATACACATATGGAATGTGACACTGACCCTTTCACGATAGAAAGAACTAGAAAGAGATATGGAACCTCAATAAATCATCCCTATAACTAGATGCAACTAGTGAGAGAAACAGGAAAGGGAAAATCTTTTGTCCTAAAAGAAATAAAAAGTATAGACTTTTATGATTATGTTTGGCTATTTAAATCTTCTTTATAGCAAAAAAAAGTGAACGAAGAAGGCGAAAAATTTGTGTGGATGAATGTAAAGTGGGTACGATACAACAAAAAGCAGTATGGAGTTCTTTATTAAAAAACTACAATAAATCCTTTGAAACATTTTAAGAGCCCCAATTTGCAGCAAAGAGGTCGCAATACAGTGTTTTTGACTCCAAACCTTTGTCATTAAGCCCGGTAGCTATTTCTGATAAGAAAAACCCAAACTTCATAGAATTATTACCTTACATCTCTGAAATTTTTCAAGATTTCTACAAAAGTTTGTCTTGCGAAAGTGATATACCTACGTGATGTATATCCTGATTCTGTCGAAGATGAAGATGAATTGGATGCAGATTAGTAGTAAATAATAAAAACTTTTATCGTTTTTGGCGAAATAGTTTTATATAGATAGGATATATATTAAGGGATAAGATTTATTTTGTTGTGTCAATGGACATAAGTATATTTATTTTCGAAAATCATTGTTACATCAAATAAATAAAGTTGGATGACAATCAATCCCCAGAAATTAACATTTTGACAAATAACATAATTTGTTAAACTTAAGTTTGAATATTATCGGTACCTTCATCTCCATTTTTCTCAAACCCTTAATTTCGTGACTTATAACTTTAAAGTATGTATGCCATATGTTTTATGTTTTTCAAAATACGTTTCCCAATATTAGAGTTATCTATTAAATATAACAGTAATATAAGGACGACGCTAATGGAATGATTTTCTAGTTTAAGGAGATATTCGAACATTACATGGCAAAGAGCTCAGCCTAGTAAGGAATTTCGAAATAAGGGAGTGTTTAAGTAGATAATGATGTTAAGTTTTAGCTGCAATATATTGTCATATTCTTCTTCTCAGCCAAAGAGAAAAATAAAAATTAATAAATAGACCATTGAAATAAATTTTCAAGACATCCTGGTAAATAAAATTTATGTATTGGATTAAAATAAGATTAGTTTCATAGAAAGTTTTGCCTGTCAACAACTAATTTTTAAACACTCGCAGGTAAAATCTTTTTATATAGAATTAGAAATCCCATACTCATTATAATTTTCTCATTGTTTGTATATAATCGAGGATTAAGATATTGTAATTAACCTTTTGTTATAGAAATAAATTATGTATTTGTAACCAAAGGGAAAGCCAGTTTTGAAGCAAAAATTTTAATTCCTCTGGAAACAGTAATGGGGTTTTTTCTTAATGATTGTAAACAAAATAAAGCTTTTTGATTGGTCAGTTTTTTCTAATGGGAATTGATAGTTGATGTATGAGAGAGAGGGGCAGTTGTCATTTGATCATCGAAAGGAAAGATCGCGTCTCGATAGAGGGTGTGTTCGTGAGTTTGGATACCAGCATGGTGAAAGGAAGTTAGCAGAATTGCGGAAGGAGTTCTTGTGTTACAAGTCGATGAAAAGGTATCCTTGGATCTAAAGTGGGCAGTTTCTGGAATACGTAAGAAATAGTTTAGCGGCACCAAGTTGACAGAAAGAGGTCCTTGTGTCATTGAGAAGTAGCTGAGTGTTTGGAGATTTCAAGTGTTAATTGTTGGAGAATTGAGTCAAGTGTTTTGTACAGTTGCTGCAGGAGGATTGCGGATACGAAAAGAAGAAAGCCGAGGTGAATAGTGGTAGATCACATTGCTGTGGAGCGTGGACGATTCTGGGTATGGTCCAAATACAATCTACGAAGGAAAGGTCAGCGATTTTCTGTTCAGAATTGAAAATTTTGTAACTGTAAATGAATTTTGTTGACATCATTGTCGTTACCATTTTAACGTAAGAGTAGATTTTATTTGTAAAATGTTTTAAAGTTTTGTTTTTTTTTTTAATAAACCAAATTTAGAAAAATCAGAAAAATAAAACGTTTTAAAGATATTCATTGAAATTGGCTTTAAATTGGTTTTGTCTTCAAGAAGACTAAAATATTCTTTTTCTCTAAATTTTTTGTATTCGTTTACGCTGATTGATAAGATAACGGGAAAATTTGATAATTGTGTTATTCTTCTTTAAATAAAATGAAGAATACCAATTTTTTGTAACATACTATTTTTATTATTATCCTTTTTTTCCCTATCTTGATAAAGGACAACTAGGAAATATTTGGACCACACAACATAGGTTATTATAAGGAGATTTTTCACCCTGAGAACAATTAAGT